TGGTCAGATCCAGGCTTCATAGTGTCTTGCTGGGGATTGGTTGTTATCTGGTCGGATTCCAGGCTTCATAACAATTTGCTGAGGGAATAAAGTTAGTTGCTATCTGGTCGGGTCCAGACTTCACGATAACTTGCTTGAAAAGATAAAATTAAACTGATATCTAGTCAGGTCCAGGCTTCGCAGTAACTTACTGGGGTAGAGGAAAACTCTACTGGGGAAAAGAAATTAAACCATGGTCTTGTTGAGTCCAGGTTCTTCAATATCTCGAGGAGCTAAATTATTATCTGGTCGGGTCTAGGCTTCATAGTGTCTTGAGAAGTTAACTATTATCTGGTCGGGTCCAGGCTTCATAGTATTTTTTTTGGAGATAGCGAAGGCTTTGTTGACGACTTCACTAGGGATTAGGGGTTGTGGCCCTCTGATTTGTAATAGTCTGAAAGGAAAACTCAAGCTGAGGAGGATAGAATCAGTCGGGAAAGACAGGCTCAGCTGGGGAAGATAGACTATGCCGGGGAAATTTTACTGTTCATTGTTTGTTGTATGTTGTATGTTGTTTGTTGGGGAAATAAACCCTATTGATGAACTACTGACGAGGTGAGTTCTTTGAGGAAGAGATCCACAAGGCTTCTTCTTTTAGGACCAACTTAGTTGGGGATAGAATTTCCAAGAGATTGAGACTCTGGCTGGGAATCAACCTATGCAAAGAGACTTCGTGGGTAACTCTGTTGAGGAATGGTTTATTGTAGTTGGTCTTGTGGGGATGATGCTAATGAAATAACTCTGTGGGGATATTCAATATACATTAAAGAGATGCTTGCTACTGCTTAGCAGGACACATGTGCCAAATAGTTTTAATTATGTTCACATGCATATGTTCGTTCAATTTTAGTCATTGGACATTTTTGCATTCAAAACAAAAACAGAAAGTTTGCACTTCAAAGTATATTTGTATTGATATTTTGCCCATGAATAGACGTTTTTTATACAGAGAGATGGAGATCCTAGTAAGAGGAAATCGTCGAAAATAAAAATTGAAAACAAAAACAAATAGCCATGTGGAAATGATCTCATCGCATTCCAACTCTACTATTGCCCCAATGTCTTCGAATGCCACTTGTCATTGATAGAAGTTGACTGGATTAATCTTGGACCGTTTGAACTCGGACCTTGGTGATAAAGTTAACTGTGATGATTCCACGAGACATAGTCATACGCTCTCAATCCTTAATTTTTGCCTGGACCGCCCTTTCGGGCTTTCAGCCCACCAGGATACCCATTTTTGCCCAAGTCGCCCTTTCGGGTTTTCAACTTGCCGGGTGTACAATCTTTTGCATATATCGCTAATTTTGGCCCAAACCTTTTGGTTTTCCAGGATGCCCTTATTTTTCCTAGGTGTGTCAACCTAGAGGGTCCTTTATGCGTAGTATTCTTTAACTATGTCCGCATTCACAGGATGCGGGAAGTCTTCACCTTCCATGATAGTCAACATCATGGCACCACTAGAGAACACTCTCTTGACAACAAACGACCCTTCATAGGTGGGAATCCATTTGCCCCTGGGGTCGCCTTGTGGCAGAATGATGCGCTTTATCACCAAGTCACCAGCTTGATATACTCGAGGCTTGATCTTTTTGTTGAAAGCCTTTATCATGCGTTTTTGGTACGTATGACCATGACAAACAGCAGCCAGTCGCTTCTCATCGATCAAGTTCAACTGATCCAATCTCGTCTGGATCCACTCGTCTTCGCCTAGGCCTGCCTCATTCATAATCCTTAGTGAGGGAATATGAACTTCCACTAGAAAAACAGCTTCCATGCCATAAACTAAAGAAAAGGGAGTTGCCCCAGTTGACGTTCTAACTGAAGTACGATAGCCATGAAGAGCAAACAGTAACATCTCATGCCAGTCCTTGTAGGTTACTACCATATTATGCACAATCTTCTTAATATTTTTATTGGCCTCTTCGACTGTGCCATTCATTTTAGGTCTATAAGGAGAAGAATTGTGATGCTTGATTTTGAACTGAGTGCAAAGTTCGGTAATCATAGCATTGTTGAGGTTAGTCCCATTGTCGGTGATGATCCTTTCAGGGATACCATAGTGGCAGATGAGGTTATGTTTGATGAATCTGGCTACCACGTTCTTGGTGATCGGGGCAAATGAGGCGGCTTCGACCCATTTGGTGAAATAATCAATAACGACCAGAATAAAGCGATGTCCAATGGAAGCAGTGGGCTTAATCTCTCCAATCATGTCAATGCCCTACATTGCAAATGGCCACGGGGCGGTCATGACGTTTAGAGGGATAAGAGGCACATGGACCTTGTCAGCATAGATTTGGCATTTGTGGCAAGTCCTAGAGTGTTGATGGTAATCATTCTCCATTGTTGAGCAATAGTAACCAGCTCTCAGGATCTTCTTGGCCATAGTATGTCCGCTTGAGTGAGTCCAAAAGATAACATCATGCATATCTTCCATAATTTCCTCTACCTCCTTCTTGTCCACACATCGGAGTAGAGTAGAGTCATGGTTACACTTGTACAATATTCAGTTACTTAGGAAGAATTTGGCTGGAAATCTTTGTAATAACTTTATGTCATTGATGGATGCTCCCTCGGGATACTCTTGTGCTTCAAGGTATCTCTTCACCTCATGGTACCATGACTTTTCTATGTTGGTGTCAAGCTCACAGCAGTGCGCAGGTTCGTCGAATCTTTCAATGGTAATCATAGGAGCTTCGTTGTCCCATCTGACCTTGAACATAGAAGACATGGTGGCCAAAGCATCGGCTAAGTAATTTTCTTCCCTAGGGAAGGGTTCAAAGGTGATCTCTTCAAAGTAAGGAATCAGAGATAGCACAAGTTCCTTGTAAGGGATGAGATTAGGGTGCTTAGTGTACCAATCTCCTTTTACTTGGCTAATCACTAAAGAGGAATCCCCAAACACGTTCAAATCCTTGATCCTCAAATCAATGGCAGCCTTCAGACCAAAAATACATGCTTCGTACTCAGCCATGTTGTTCGTGCAATCGAAGCAAAGTCTGGCAGTGAAAGGGGTGTGGCAACCTTCAGGGGAGATAATCACAACACCAATTCCGTTACCCAAGGCGTTGGAAGCCCCGTCAAAGACCATAGTCCACCAGGATCCTTGTTCAGGTCCGTCATACGGTCCAGACTTCGCGCAGTCGGTCACTAGCATGATGTTCTCATCCGAGAAGTCAAAGTTCATAGACTGATAATCATCAACAACTTGATGGGCCAAATGATATGCTAATACGTTTCCTTTGATGGCCTTTTGCATTGTGTATTGAATATCATACTCAGTCAAGATCATTTGCCATCTGGATATCCATCCAGAAAGAGGAGGTTTCTCGAAGATGTACTTGATTGGGTCCATCTTAGAAATCAACAGAGTGGTATGAGTAAACATATACTGTCTTAGCCGGCGAGCAACCCATTCCAGAGCGTAACAAGTTTTCTCAAGCAGTGAATATCTGGTTTCACAGTCGGTAAACTTTTTGCTCAGGTAGTAAATAAAATGCTCTTTTCGGCCAGACTCGTCATGTTGGCCCAAAACACACCCCATAGAGTTCTCTAGCACTGTCAAGTACATGATCAAGGGTCTTCCTTCAACTGGAGGCATGGTAATAGGAGGTTCTTGTAGATATTCTTTGATTTTTTCGAAGGCAGCTTGGCATTCATCATTCCGTCTGACTACTTGATATTTCTTCAAGAGTTTGAAGATGGGCTCACAAGTAGCAGTCAAGTGAGATATGAAGCGGGAGATGTAGTTGAATGACCCAAGTGTAATACCCCAAATTTGTCCTACCCTCTCACTTTTATTAGGCTTATGCATTTTGTACTTTTCTCGTGTGCATAACTCCCATTAGGTCATCTAACACATCATTCATTCATTAGTCAATAAAACGTGGCATATGATCAAAGATATTGAAGAATTAGGGTTTCTCTATACTTTTATTCCCTCGTATTCATTTAGGGAGAATCAACTGATTTCTTTAACAATCAATGGTTTGAAGCTAGGGTTGTGTATTCATGGTCATTACGGACTTTTGTCTTCATCAAATTTCCATCCTGAGACAAGTGTATTAAGGTTTCATTTGTGGCGCTTAATGACTGCATCAATATTCCAATTGAACCTCTTTCCTTTGATGTTTCTAAAGCTTAGTTTTCATATGAGGAATTCATAGGGAAGAGAGTCATGTTGAACCTTCTTATGATTGATCAAGATTAATGTCAAGAGGCTTGCTATTAACTTGATATAATTAATTTATTCACCAAGCCAAGGTCTTCGGCATATTCTCTAATCAATTAAGGCTCGAATTATAAGGGATGGTGGCATCGCATTTTATGATTCTATCTTTTACTAATTCAATCCAAGATTTTTTGGTTAGAAGGCAATAATTACGGTTTGTGCGAAGAGTGGATTCAATTGCCTTTTGATACAATAAAAATCAAGGAGTTGTAGGAATAAAGTGTAAGTCGACGTAAATTTAAGCATGAGTTAGGGATTACTTTAAAAAAGGGATGTGTTGAAAGAGACTCTATGAATTCAAGTTGTCAAAAATGGATCAAAGTGGGAAGAATGTTTACATGGATTTCATACAAGAGAAGAGATGGATTCATTTATGCATCACTTAATCAATTAAGTTTTGTGTATGGTTCCAAGATATGTTTGACTTGGAACGACAAATTGAAACATGAAATTTGCTGGTAAGAATAACCAGGTTATTCACTTATTCATTGCTTGCATTCATCAGAGTTCTATCCAACTTAAGATATTCATGTTTATTCAAGGTCATAATCGTGCAAATTTACAAGCCATGTTGATGTTATACAAAAAACAAGTTACAATTCACAAAGAAAATTACAAGAGGTGACAATATTCTCTAAGCTACATAAGTCTTTTCAATTTGCTACAAGAATATCTTCAGTCATCTCCATGCGACATTGGTTCTCAAACCCCATAAACGAAGACGTATTCACATCTTCATATTGCTTCCTACATTACCAAACTGCTGACCTTCAGATTCCTTCTCATCGCTTCCATTTTCTTTCATCGAGGCCATGGCACTATGCTCCCGCAACCTGCAAAACCAATCTAGGAAAATCACCCTGTTCAAGGGAAAAGCCAGCAGAACTGTCAAAAAGCATAATTTCTAAACAACTAATTACCAACCAAATAACCATATCATAGCAGAACCAATTTCTAACTGTGATAACTCCCTCTCTCCTTCCCTGAAAACAACAGATTCCAACAAAAAAAACAATATTGCAACTAACTTTTAGAACCGCCCCAGCTGTCAAAGCAATTAATTGCCTAACCAATTCCAAATAGTTTCAAACAACCTTCTAACAACCCTTTATAACTAACAATTCTAACAAACTTCCAGCAACGAAAAAAAGGCAGTTACCAACAGAACCCAAAACTAACCTGTAGTAGCTACTAACAGTTCCAAAACCTTAGCTTGCATCAAACAAAATCAAAAAGAAACTGGCAGAAAAGTCAGTTTCAGCATCCTTTAAACTTGTGCTTACATCAAATAATGCAGCCCTGCAATTAACAACCAATCAGCAGTTCAGTTCCAATTCAGAAATCCAAATCAGTCCCTACCTAAAACTCTCACAAATTCTTGTTTAACTTCAACATAAACCAGAGAAAAATCTGGGGAATCATATAGATGGAGAGAGGAAACTGTGCAGCATAACAGAAAATGCATAGGAAGAATTTGCATCAGGAAAATAATGGAAAAATAACAATAAGTCGGAATTACCCCCTAACTGTTATAACAGAAAGTCTAAACTCCATAACAAATTTTCTAATTGTCCATAACTGAATCCAAAACATAATTAATAGCTAACTGATCCAAATCTCTAACTGTCAAAAAACCTACTAACTGCTCTCATCCTATCCATCTATTCTATAACAGAAAATCAAGGATCAAGGGCTCTGATTTAATCCAACTCTAACTTCTACTCTAACAAACTCTAACAGAATATAACAGAAAATTACCTTGCAATTGGATAATTCTTCAATCTGCAGAATAATCACCAAAAAATCTGGGAAAAATGCTCTCTTCAACCATTTCGGAATCTTCATCCAGAATCGCACAACACTTCTTATTTCATCTTCAAGAATCTTCATCATCTGCAACTCTTCTTCACCCTTACCTTCATATATTTCTCTCAATATATCTTCTTTGTCCACCACCTTCATCAATCTTCCCTCTCTACAACCACCGTAATCGCAACCTTCATCTTCTCAATAACTCTCCACATCAGCGCTGCAACTACGTCATCACTTCGCATCAAAATCGAAGTTGTAATCCACATTGCGCATGTTCTTTATTTCGCGATGACAAAAGTGTGATAACAACACTAATCTGCAATCTCCACTCATCGTTTATCAACACTCACGTAACAACATAATCACAATGATTCACGAAAAACACACAAATAAGAAGAAGAAAGAAGCGAAGAGATAAAGAGTGCATACCTGAGTAACGCTTCAAGAATCATCCGAGAAACTCTGACGTATGATGAACTGAGGTGGAGACTCAATTGAGAATGGCATGGAACCGTGTAAGAGAAGACGAAGCGATTTCTTCGGCGAAGATAGATCGAGACGAGGCTAAGGTGCAGATTGAAGCTTTGAAGGTTGAAATTGTTGAGCAAATGATCGGAGACGAGGATTGCTGATTGAGACGAGGCGAGTTCTATGGCGTTTTGATGGTGGAGATCGTCAGAGCTAAATGAGGTTGGGCGCCTCTGCGATGTTGTGAAGAGCAATAGGTTTGTTTCCTCGTATAAGGTAAATAGACACAATTTTGTTAACCCTATCTTTACCTCACAAAAACGCCACCGTTTACCTTTCTTTGTTAATTGATTGTATTCTTTTATAATCTAAAATAATTGAAAATAATTTGTATGATGATTTTTGTTTGGACCGTAAATGAGTTCCCCTTGGGAAAGAAATCTAATTCGCTATGCCTGTACCTCATCTGGTCCATTCCCATACTTTTTGGCACACCTATTGCCTTGTAACAAAAATATTTCTATTGGACTCAGGTTGATGGGCTTGGTGTTGATCGGGACTTTATGAGTCTATTGGGATACTAACTACAAGTATACAGTTTAGTCGTTCTAGTTTTAAATGATTATCGAACCCACAAAGACTGAGGATCAATCGCATACGATCTAATGCTACAATTGTTTAACTAAGCGATGAATATTTGGTTTTAGGGGGGAAATAGTTTAATTAAAAATAATAATAATAGCTATATCGGTATGTGATAGTCGGATTTCGGGAATTCGGTGAATCGCTTGGCATATAAAGTATTTCGGTAAAAACGAATTGTTTAAAAACCTGAGACATACACTCTCGTGTTCATGAAATAAGTCATGCTACTAAACCTAGTGGATGCACTTTAAATTTAATAACACTTTTTTAAAACAATTTGAGTTTAATTAATTTGTTAAAACACTCTCGTGTATTTAAAAATTAATGTTTCGTTACCACTATCTGGGTCGAACTCCAGCTCTCGCATGCAGGTTCTTGCCTTAATTAATTTCCCACTCTCGTGGCAAAATCATGTTAATTATTCTCTCACTCTCGTGACAAGGGTAGTTAAATTAAACATGGAAATTGGAAACCAGAAATTATTTGTAAATGTTTTTAGCCAAGTTATCACTGAATTCTTTTGGTACTTAGGAGTCACATACCGGTACAAATTAATTTAGCCGTACATAATATATTTAGCAACTATGCAATTTAAAATATAATCCATAAAAATAAATGACATAATCCAAGAATAAATAAATATCAATTGCATAAAAACCTGGAAATAATGTTGCTATGATAATCTTGGATGTTACAAATTCCTTGCAGCTCAATCGAAATCAATAATTGTGTTAATTCTTAGATGAAGAATTAACACTCTAAAACTAATGCTGGAAATAAAAATTACAGTACATGTAGAAAAGGTTCAAAAGCAAGAAAATAGAATAATTGCAGGAAAATAGAAATTTGGCTCTGGATAAATTTCTTTGACCATCGTCCATTGAACTACCACATATATATAGAAGAAAATATTGCAGTTTGAGAAAATCTTGGAAAAAGGCTTGAGTGGAGAAAGACCCGGATGCATGGTTACTGAGTGGAGGAAATATAGGAGAAGAGTTCTTCCCTCAACGTTGCCCACGTCTCCACTAATTCATAACGCTGCCATTTAAGCGTGTGACGATCGTCACAAGGGGGTGACGGACGTAATGCGCTTAAATAGTGCATTACGCTCGTCAATGATGTGTGACGAGCGTTCTTTCTAGTTAGGGAGGCGTTACGGTCGTCATAGGGTGTGACGGTCGTCACCGTTACAAAATCTGCAGACTTTGCAGATTTGGTTCCTTCTCTTCTGTTTCTTGTTTAGCTTCTTTCATGTGGTCCTTTTTCATTGATTTGAGTTGACAAATGTTGTACCTGTGAAAAGACACAAAAACTCGGAATAATCGGGAGTTAGACGACTCAATGTATTATAAAAATCGATAAAAAACGTAGTAATTATATGATACGATTTCTCGTTATCAAATTCCCTCATACTTAAGCCTTTGCTTGTCTTCAAGCAAATAGTCATTCGAGAGGTCGGACAAGTTTTGTTAAGCGCATATGCATGACATACCTTGGATTTTTAAAGCAATTTCGGGAAATCCTCGTCGGTTCGGCCAATACTTGAGTGAAATACTAAAGATACGCTAATGACACGAGCAATAAGCTTAGTCGTAGGCTTCCATTTCAAACGAGCTATCCAACAGTTCCGTTATAATCCTGCCCAGAGTTCCTCGTATCTATTTCACCCGGTTTCGTTCTGGCGCAATCACATTAAGCCCTTTGTCTTAGCACGCACGTAGTGGAGTAACCGGTTAGTGACTTTGATCCTTTTAGAACGAGGTCTGGTACACGAATGTGGCAACCCTGCATACGTTATCCAAATTGGAGGTTGTGGGGGATCGAGCCGTAGCACGCCCTACCAAGTCCAGAACCAGATACCTCTGAACCAACCAACAGTGGATTCCTTCATTATTTGCTCAGCTCTTATATGTGACCGTATATTTTGGTGCACAAAATTTCTTTTCTTTTAGCAGCGAGATAAGAAGGATATTTCTATGATCAGGCATCAAACACTTATATTCATCGATTCTCCACGTGGTTTGTGTCAAGACAGTGCTAACTGCTAGTATAAACTACTAGGGGTTACTTTTAGAACTAAAACTCAAGATATCGGTATAATGGTTATTGAAGCGGATCGTGTAAGTAGGAAGTCTACGCTGTCATAACCGTATCGATCTTGTTATGTCGTTTTCAACTTCCTCAACTTAGATTTTGTTAAAATAGGTATGTCGGGCTAATGCGAAGATAAAAAAATTTCGGTATGGCTAAATAAAGCGAAGAATTTGAATCGAGACATATCATAAAAATTACTAGTTTATAGAATATGGAAAGGTACCTCTCCCACACTAAATCTGACATTGTCCTCAATGTTGCGGTATATAGGCGGGGAAGTACAATTACAAAAACAAACAAAAAGGACATGAAACAGAAAAAAGTAAACTACATAGAAAATAAAGAAAACTACTGGTGACCACGTCCTCTACTCCTGGTGCGAGAGCGTCTGGTAGGAGTGGCTTCTGTGTCAGTATCTTGGTAACCAAGGGTGCTGACGTCCAGCCTTAAGGCGTTGAGCTCTGACAGGGCCTCATCCAACCTCTCATGCATGCTTCGCTGTCCAGTCAAGATCTGAGTGTTTTGAGCGCATAGATACTCATATTGTTCTTGTTGTCTTCTTTCAAGCGCTGCACTCATTTGATTTTGCATATGAATGGCGCGGAGAACGTCTTCAAGATTAATAGGAGGTGGTGCAGATGAAGGTCCTGGAATGTCGTGGATGGGGGGGGAGCATTATCCATCTCTTCTTGCATTTCGTCTGCGGGGGCATTAGGCTGGTCTGCAGGAGCACGCCCCGCGGGAGCTGCAGGATCGAATAACCAGTTAGCTCGGTTTCGTGGATCGATTCGGTCCCTGCAAGGCAAAGTGATGTTATGATAAACAGTGTTTCTGATCACAGGGTGGAATCTTCCATCCTCCCGCTCATAAATGAGATGTGCGGCTTTGTAGTGATCCAAAGTCAGTAAAGCTGGTGCCATAGAAGGCATATCCGCGAGAGCAGCACCATAGTTCAGAGCTATCTCAAGTGAAGTGACCAGCCCTCCGAAATAAAAGGGTTTTTTGCCTCTAGCACAAATAGAGTGAATGTGAGCCAGTAAAAACGGGGCGGCGTTGATCTTTTGCCCGGTGAATGCGTAATGCATGAAGAAGAGCTCCTTGGAGTTGAGCTTGTGGTTGCTGTCACGGGCAAAGATGGTGTTGCTGAGGATGCGGTGGAAATAGCGGATAGCCGGATTATGAATGTGTGTGGCATTAAGGTGGTCGTAGGATCCGACACGGATGTTCGTCATACTGTGCCATAAGTTAAAAGCTTCCTCACCGAAATTATCCGGTACCCGGAGATGGACACCTTCGTCAGAACAGAAGCCTAAAAGGCGTGCGATGTCGGTTTGGGGCAGTTGATGCTTGATGCCAAACATACGAAACTTGGCCAGGCTTGACAGTTGGTTCGTGGCACCTGGGGGAGTGACGTAAACAAAGGAACTCAGAAACTCAAGGGTTAGAGTTTCATAAATGGGTTGCGGTTCGCAGCACAGGTTCCATAAATCCACACTCTGCAACAATTGTCGGACACTGTCAAGTAGTCCCAAACTCCTCAAACAGCCAAGATCAACATACCGTGTAGGTTGGAGACCGCGGCGTTGGAACTTCTGGAACTTGACCCGTTGGGTTTCGCCTTGTTCACCGGATCTGAAAGTGATAGCGGGAGCTTGTTGATTGTTGGCCATATTGTTTGTAGAATGGATTGAAAAAGGTTTGGAATGAGAATGGATTAGTGGGTTGATGTGTTTTTAGTGTTAGAATGTTGGAAGTTTGAAACAAAAGGGAGTGGGTGATGTTACCGTTAGCAGCGATGGAGGTTGGGAGGTTTTGAAACAAAGATGGAACGGCTCTATAATAGCAGGTTCTGATATATTGCACGCGTGACGGTCGTCATGAGGGTGTGACGAGCGTAACACGGTGAAACGCGTGTTACGCTCGTCCTGAGGGTGTTACGAGCGTCACGCGTTCAATTTCATTAATGAGAAGAACGTTACACATTTTTTTTATTTTCTAATATTATAATTTAAAATTCTAGCATAGTAAGCAGTAATAATATTTACCAACACACGTCACATGATTAAATTTTTGCAGAAAATATAAACAGTAAATTAATAAAAAATGAAAAATATATTAAAAATGATATAACATGTATGAAATGAAATAATGGCAGTAGGGCAATAAAACTTGAAACTTGATAAATAATTGAAATTTCATTAATCCATAAAAATTGTTTGGGAATAATAATAACTTAGATAATAATAAAAGTGATAAAATACTAAAACAAACTAGATTCCTCCCCCACACGTAAAATAAACAGTGACCTCGCTGTGTATACAAATGCAAGAGAAGAAACAAATCAAGATACAACGGCAATCTCTAGCCACGGGGAGTAGGGAACATATGTTGGTGCAAGAAATCTAGTTGGTCTGTCACCAAATCCGTGAAAGCGATGAAATCCACTCGTAGAGATGTGAGCTCACCCCGCATTTCAGTAATTTCTTCATGCAAAGAGTTTAGGGTAACAGTAGGTGGAGGAGGTGGTGGTATCTCCAGAGCCTAGAAGGTGGTCTCAGTAGAAGCTACATGTTGCTCCCATGGATCGGGAAACTGGTGGTAACCCGATGGTGTTGCGGGATCTTCAGCATCGCGAGAGGTGTTGGGTACTTCATAGATGTCAATAGTGGAAGGAGACGAAGGCGGTGTAGGAGGATGGTGGAGGTCAAAAAGCCAGTTTGCTCTATTGTGGACACTAGT